AGCCCCTGACAGGGGGGTTTATCCCCTCCCACAGTTTTGTGCTCCAGTTTGAGCCCTACGTCGTCTGGGCCACCCAGGTGGGGCCAGGCAAAGCTGCCCACCCCCCCGCAGCCGGAACACAAGGTTCTGAGCTGGCTGGGGGGGGGGGGCTTCGCCTGCTGCGTGCCCCGCAGGACCTCCTCCAACCACCTAGCCAGTGGCGGGGGAGCTCCCAGCCACCCTGTCCCCACACACTGTCCTGTGGGCTCCAGAGCAGACGACGGAACCAGGGCCCGATGCCTTCTTGCCCCTGCTCAGAGTCCGTGCAGCACGTCAGGGTAAAGTTGTGTTCTGTCGACGGTGCTTATTTTGCTGTTCCGTGTGCGAGCCGTGCCGTTCACTTTGCTGGCGAGTGTGTCCCCGTTACCTGTGAAGCGAGCCCCATGGTGGTGCACGGTGTGGGGCCCTGACTCTGTCGACTCCCCTGCAGGTGACCGATTTTAAAGGTGCGTCATTACTAGGCCATGGGCAGGGTTCGTCCTGTGCTGAAAGCTCACACTGGCTCTAAAATAAGACGGTGAATAAAAAGCCGCCAAAGTGTAAACGTGTGTGAAAGAAGTTTGCAGTCCGTGTTGGGGGGCAGGCGGTGCCGTGTGTGTTGGTGGCGTGCGGCTGGCACACGCATCTGCAGGGACCGTCACAAGTGGCAGGTTTGCTGTCCCTGTGCCTGTGCCGTAGCATTGGGGACCATGCTCGGACCCTCCGCCTGTGACTCGCCGTGAACTGGAGGCTCTGTGGGACTGGGAGTCACCCCCGGGCCACAGGGCCAGCTCACTCAGAGAACTGGCAGGCTCCAGGGACGGTGGAAAAATCTGGAAATATCAGCATGGGCTTCTCAGCCTCAGGGCTGAGCTCTGGTCAGTGGTCAGGGCCACGGTCAAGGCAGGATGCTGCTGGGGCTCTCCTGGTCTCCGGGGGATCTGTCACATGAAGTTCCGGTGAGGGGGACATGCAGACTTGATGAAGCAGGTGACCTGCCCGCAGGGGGCACGCACCCGGGGACCAGCCTGGGTGGGCTGGGCAGGGGCTGTGGGGACAGCCGGGCCGGCCGAGAGCTGAGTCGTCTCTGCGCACATTCCTGAGATGGTGTGTCTGATTTCCGACGGCTGCGTGTTTACACGATCCATGTCCCTTATATCAAAAATAGTTCCTGGAAAAGGACAAAACATCTGTCGGATGGAAGGAGAATGGTGATGTTTTAAGTTTTAGAATAACATGAAAGCATTTTTATTTTTAATTTTTAACTTGCCCAGACCAGTGCAGCTCAATGGCTTGAGTATTACTCCATGAAGCTAAAGGTCGCCGGTTTGATTCCTGGTCAGGGTACAAGTCTGGGTTGTGGGCCCGGTCCCAGTGGGCGCCCGTGCCAGCCGGTCCGTGTTTCTCTCCCTCCCTCCCCCTAAAAACAAACAAATAATCTCTAAAGAAACAACAATTCTCTTAACTTTTCACAAGGGAAATTTCAATCCCACGGAAGCAGAGAGAGTGGGGTGATGAACCCAGGGGGCCTCACCCAGACCCCACACGAACTCGCCCCTTTTCCGTTTGTAGCCTCCCTGCTCCCCCACCATAAATCGTGAAGTTTTTATGTGTAGCATTGCAATGACACTTATTTAATTCAGGGTTCAGACACCATTCTGGTGGTAGGCATCCTTTTGTGTCAGGGGAATCAGAGAATTTGTTCTCCGTATCTGGGTCTTAAATACCTGTGATCAAAGATGTTTTTATTCGAGAGAAGTGCTCCTCAAAGTGGGGCTCAGAGGCCACCCCAGCCCTGGAGCCCCATTTCCAGGCTGTGAGGGGACCAGGAGGTGCTGAGAACTTGGTGGTGGCACGGCCATTTTCAGGTACTTCGTTTTTACTGTGTTCCACAAAGTCAGCGACACATTGGGGAGCCACGGTTTTTCTCTTCAGAGAGTTTGAGGAGCGCTCCTCTGAACGGTTCTGGGCCCGTGGGGACACGTGGCATGACAATGGGGGTATTCTGAGTCATCACAACTTGGGGGGCCCTGGGGTGTGCTGCTGACACCGAGTGAGTGCACGGAGCAGCTCCCCAAAACAGAGCCGGAGCGGGTCTTCTGTGTCGGTGGCGCAGGCTGAGACCCCCGCCCCAGGCCCGGTCTCAGGGAGTTTGTCCTGGGCCTGGCTGCAGAGCTGGACTGGCTGTGTGTCCGCCTTCCCTGCGCTGGGAGCGCTACGTTCTGCAGCTGGTAGTGTCGGAGGATCCAGTAAACGACTTTGCCCCGAATCCTTAAAAAATATGAGGGAAGCGTTTCAGTCACACGTTGCCTGTCTCATCTGTGCCGAGGTTTGTCCTGTGTCCGGTGGGAAAGGGCCGACCACTGCCGTGGCACCTGAGAAAATGCAAAATCAGACACTTGTAAAATTCCTGTTTAGTTAGGAATTTTATGCTTAGGAAATTCTTGCCAAATCTCTGCTTCATGAGGTTTTTAATTTTTTTTTTAAAATGTAGAACTAGAAAATGATTACCTTGCAAATTTCTGTGAATGCTAATAGGGTAACTACTTCTAGCTGTGTAGTACTTTAAGCTAGGAAAAAAGCAAGCAGATGAAATGAATTTGGGATAAAAGATGACTTGTAAGTCCTACCACACTTGTGTATGTGAGAGAGAGAGAGGAAGACGAAACATTTCTACACCTGATCCCTCAGCTTCTTCTCTGTGTGTGTGATGCCAGCGTGGCTCACGTGGATGCTGGTTCCTTAACTGTGCGGGGACACACTAGCCTGTGACACTCTGAGCACGACAGTGTGTGTCCACAAAAGACGGAGCCACCGAGGAGCTGGGGCTTTGCTCACAAACAGAACCTCCTTTCCCCTGTCATTTAAAGCATGGGGGGCTCTGCCCACCTTTGCTGCCCTTACGGGGGCCGCTTTCTTTCCATCGCTTCCCAGGCTTCCTGTCTGAACTGTCGGGCTCAGGCTGCCACCAGTGTGAAGGTATGTTGCACATCCTTCGTTCCCTACTCCCTGTACCTTGGCCTCTGACTGCAAGGGGGAGAGCTGACCAGCCGGGTGTTCTGTTTCTGTTTGATTGCGGCCTCAGGTGGTATCGGCCGTAGGGGATGTCAGGATTCCGTGCCCACATGTGTGGCTGATCTGCCCACGGTCAGGCTAATCTGTGGGTGTGGGTACAGTGGGGGGCACATGTCTTTTCCTCCTGGCGAGGCATCCTTAGCTTTTAAACGAAGAGGAAGCCACCGTCTGATGAACTGTTTCAAAGAACTTCCCCGTCGTCATTCCTCCTCAGTGGACAAAAAAATGTGCCTTGGTCTCTATAGAACCTTCTCAAACGATATCAAGGTTTACTAACTCAGTTTATGTTGGCAAAACTATAACATTAGAAGTTCCGGTTCTTTTACATAGATGGGCCTTAGCGGCACAGAAATAGGACTTTTTATTAGCTACACAGCCAGGCGCCAGGCGGAGAGCCCCTTAGACCCCACCTTCTGGGTGAAATCTGCCGTGCGCTGTTTCGTCAAAGCTGGACGGATTAGACTTGATTAATTCGGCCTTTGATAAGTTACAGTTTAACGGGCGCATAGATTGCCTCCATTTGGTCCCGGTCCCCCTGTCCTGATGACAAAGGCCGAGCTCTTTGTCAGTGTAACTGTGTGATCATTCAGAAGCAGAGTTAATCAAGACGCTAATCACTTTGTGTCTGTTTACTCCCGCTAACCAGTTACATGTGCAGTTCGTGCCGCGCTGCACGCAGAGCGGAGTTGGAGCCCGAGCCCATCACGCTCCGTGGCTCCGACTGGTGCCCCAAGGAGAGGCTGTCACGGGGAGAGACAGAGGCAGCAATTAGGTCACGGTTCACGTTACAGTGATGTCGGGGGGTCTTCGGGAGCTCGGCGGTGGCACCTTGCGGGGTACTTGCCAGTGTTAGCACCCTCTGGAGCTGGCTTTCTGTGGGGACAGGAAGGCTCTGGCTGTGGGGCCCACCGCCGCAGTGCCGGGGCTCCGGGGCGGCTACACTCGGAGTGAGGTCGGGGACCGGAAGGCGTCTGCATTTGCCAAGTGGAGCTGCTCGGGGCTTTTAACTGCTTTAGTGTGATTCCTGGCCGGGAAGCAGTTCTTCTGAGAGTCTAACCAACCTCAGCATGTTTGCAGTTCAGATTTAAAATGTGGGCTTGACCAGAAAACCCTGAGTCAGGAAATAAAGGGCCTTTGACTGAGAGGCTTCAGGTGCAGAAGCAAAAAGGCTGTCTGGGGGGGCCTTCCCTCAGCCGGGGGTCGCAGGACTTCCACAGGTCAGGCCACCAGCGGTGACCTCTGGTCCCAAATTCCAGCAACTGCCGAGGAAACAAGGGTTGTGAGCGGGAAACAGGGGGGACCCCTGATAGCAGCACCCAACTTCCAAAAACTGAAGATAATGACTCATCAGATAAAGAAAACCACGTACGTGCCTAGAATATTGTTAAATACGCATAGGCAACATGAGTCAAAAACCCCCAAAAGCTTCTAGAAGATTATAATGGAAATGAACAACTCTAATGATCCTATTAAGTAGCAAGTTAGACCAAAAAAGAATCGATCGCCCAACTGTAAAGAAGTTCCATAGTGTAAGACTCACAGAGGGGAGAGAGGCAGGCAGACCTGGGGCACCGCCAGTGTGACAGGTTGGTCACTGCACGGAGGTCTCGGGCCGAGCTGGGAAGGCCCAGGTGCAGCCCCGCTTCTATGTCCACACGGGAGAATTAGCCCTAAGACCCAAGGGAAATGGGTCCAGGCCGTGGAGCAGGGCACGGCCAGCCGATCGGAACCCAGCGTCACACAGGTGCGGCTTCCTGCGAGGCAGGCAGGGGGTCCGACAGGGGGCCTAGGGCCCCCTGAGCCAGCAGACGTGAGGGTGGCTGGTTCCCTCAAATTGAAACACCCCTGTGGCCCTGCTGCGGCACCCTCTTCCTGGCCCGGGACTCACGGTCTCCCCTTGACCGCAGGAGAAGCCCTACAAGTGCTCCGAGTGCAGCAAGGCCTTCAGCCAGAAGCGGGGCCTGGACGAGCACAGGAGGACGCACACCGGGGAGAAGCCCTTCCAGTGCGACGTGAGTGGGCCCTGCACCGCCTGGGGGGGGGGGGCGGGCGCTGTGGGCGTCTGAGTGTGTGCATCTGTCAGGTGTGCGGAGTCACAGGGCCCTGGGACACCGTACACCTGACATTTCTATAATGTCACTGACTTGTGTCCTGCAATGCATAGGAATAAGCACAATTTAACTTCCGTATCGCGCGATACTTACTTGTAATTTCCAACGTGTTACTATATGCGTCGGGCTCCTCCCTCTCCGCACAGATGGGCCTGCACTTCCTGTGGGGGGGCGGGTCATGTCTTCCCTCCCCATGAACACAGAGCACTTTTTTCCTCTGCTTTCAAGTCTTCCCGCCTTCTCCTCACTCAGCCCCGTGGCTTTCTCTCCAGTGGGTTTGTTCTCTGTGCATGCATGACGCTGCTGTTCAGGGTGTTTGCCTGGGTGTCACACAGGCCTCAGGTCACCGTAGGCATGCTTTGCAGGAATTTCATGTAAACGGGACTTTTGTGACCACCACCAAAGTTGGAAGGAAAATTTGGTGGTGGTATAAGAATTCCGTTCCACTTCCTTTTATGGCCTGAATGGATATGCCTTGCACCTTCTGTGTAAACGTGGTATTTTCAGTCGTGTGGGTCTGATGCGTGGTGGGCCGGGGCGGAGCTGGAATGAGGAAGCGTACACGCCCCTTCGTTAGAGGATGGGCACGCAGGGAGATGAGGGGTTGGAGGGTGGGTGTGGAGGCCGAACTCACCTGCTCAGCAGGAGGGGGAGAGGGGTGGCCAGTGAGACCCGTCTTCTGCCATTAATGCCATTTAGGAGGTTAAATAGGAAGCTGCCGATGCAGCCCATGACCAGGAGAAAGGCATCGTTTTCAGGAGTCCTCTCCTTGACATGTCTACAGCAGTGGGGGGAAGGCGGGCAGTGCAGAGGGCACATGTGAAGGGCAGGAAACTCGGGAGCTGGCATTAGCTCTCCTTCCCCCTGAGCGGGTGCTCCAGTCCACCGGTGTCAGGGGCAGTGCCCCCGTCGGCCATCCTGAAGGCAGGAACGGCCTGGCGAGCTGCGTTCCGCAGGCTTCTTGTAGCCGTGTGACCCGTGTCTCCGCGTGTCTTCCAGGTGTGCGACCTGGCCTTCAGCCTGAAGAAGATGCTGATCCGGCACAAGATGACCCACAACCCCAACCGCCCGCTGGCCGAGTGCCAGTTCTGCCACAAGAAGTTCACCAGGAACGACTACCTCAAAGTGCACATGGACAACATCCACGGCGAGGCGGACGGCTGAGGTGGCCCACGGGCGGCTCTCGCGTGGCCAGCGTGGTGGAGGCGGCCAGCGCCACTCACGCCTCCCGCGTCTCTCTGGCTGACCTTTGGCGTCTGGAGACACGTATGCAAAAACAAAACAGAACAAAATCCCGCTTTTACCGAGAAATGGTACAAATGCAAAACAGCCCCTTTGTAGCCTTAAGAAACACCACGCACGCCCTGTTCTGATGCAAATGGAAAGAGCCCGGGCGCTCCCGGCCGTCTCCGTGGTGAAGTTTATTCGACCGCTCCCTGCGGGGCCCTTTAGCGTTACCGTTGTTTTTGCGTGTGCGCGCTTTGTGCAGAGGCTGGGCGTCCGCGACTCGGCCCCAAGGAGCTGGCGAAACCCACACTCGGCCCCCGCAGGTGGGGACAAGGGGATAAAGCTTGCTGTCACCAGGCTTTGCGACACTGACCCAAATCGACCCCGTTGACCCTCTCCCTCCCGCAGGTCAGTTTAAAATAAAGGGGTATTTAAGGTCGGATACGCCCCCTGACGTGGTGCTCATTTCCAGCATCTGAGGAAGCGTGACCCGCTCTTGACACGCGGGGCCTGGGATACTTTTATAAGATCGACGCGAAAGTGAGTTGCACTTAACTGTTTAGCAGGCTGGGTCACCCGAGTCTACATGCGTCCTCTTTAGAAATCACCCACGTGCAAACACGAGTGGGTTGTAGGGGCCCCCAGGGTGCCGTGGCGGTGTCGGCAACGACGGACCCCCGCCCTCCCCTCTCACTCTGCAGCGTCACCAGACCTGTGCCCGCGGGAGGCCCCAGAGCAGTAACGTTCCGTTCCCCAGCGTCTTGGTGGTAGCGGCTCTGGAGCACGCAAATACCCTCAGCCATCCTGAATTATTAGGGGTCCAGATGGAAAAATACACACCTGGCTGTTGTTCGGGTTGAGATGATCACTGGTGCCTAGGGGGAAACCGAGGCAAGGAGCCTCGGTTCTGGCTTCAGGTCACATTTCCATCAGACACTTGAGAGCAACATTGAAGGAACAGCTTGTTTCGGGAGAAGATGCGGGAACACGGGGTTGTGATGTCAAAGTAGCACGTAGAGGGAGGAACCCAAAGTCTGAACGAATAAGCAAGCAGCCCCAGATGCCGGGCTGTTCTGTTTGGAGCCCTCCCCAAAGAGGGGAACCGTAGCTCTGAGAAGTGATTGGGTTCTGACGACTTAGGGAGAAAGGTTATCTTTTAAGTCTCGTGTTAGAATTATAGTCATGCTTAGTTTCACTTATGGACAAAAATATTCAGCATACATATTTCAGCTCTGTAAAAATATTGACTTTGAAACTCACCAGAGAGAAGTTTAAGAAGCCCGAGTTCCCACCTTGTAGTTTCGGGGTCTCTAGCCATGGCTGTGTGTGGCGTTTCGTAGATGACAGCCCGTGCGTCGTGAGAGCAGATGTCCGTCTCGTTTCTCCCCGCTCCCTTGTTCCCACGGGGCATTTGTAGAGACTCGGTGTCTCCAGGGGACACGGCGGCAGGGTGCCCATGCCTCCGAGTACAACAGGGCAGCCGTGCCACTCGGCGGGGCGCACCTTCTGGCACATCTGCACGCACCTTTGGGTGCTGCCTGCTCTAGTGGGACGCTGCTGACCAGCGTGACACTTGAAGCCCGACACCGATTTTGTGACCTCAGTGACTCTCAGTTGCCCGGGCTGCTGGGGTAATGACCCCTGAAGCCACACATCACTGTGTTGCGGAGCAGGGTGACCAGAAAGAGGCACCGGCTGCATCAGGCGGAGCGTTCGTGGCCAAGGAAGTCGTGAGAAAGGGGTGTGGGGCTCCGGGCATGGAATCTGAGCCGGGTCTGAGGAGTCAGTTCTGCTTCCAATACCATTCAGAACAGCATCAAAACTGCAAAATACTTTTGAGATAAATCTCATAAAAGACGGGGAAGTTCTAAAAAGCACAAACTATTGCTGAAAGAGACAAGATTCAAATAAAGAAATATGCTCTGTTCATGGGTTGGAAGGCTGAATAGTGCCAACATGATAACTTTTCCCAAATTGATCTCGCCCTACAAAAGTTTCCATAGGCTTTTTGGCGTGTTTAGAAATCAAAAAGACGATTCTGAAATTCATGTAGAACCACAAATGATCAAGAAGCACTGAACCGGAGTAAAACAGAGAACGCACACTGCCCAACTCAGCCGCAGTGGCCCGGACAGCTCAGCACAGCACAAGGATCAGAGAGACCCACGTGAAGACAGATGCAGATATTTTTGACAAGGCACAAAAGACGCTGATGGGGAGAGGGCTGTCTTTGCACCGAGTGGGGCGGGGATGACTGGACAGTGGGGTTGAGTCACATGAGCAGGACCGGTCAGCCCTGTGCTGACCTGGGTGAGCCAGGCCGTGGCCCGGAGGCCGTGACCAGCCCGCCACCTTCAGTATGGCTTTGAGAAACAATGAGCAACCCTTGGACAAGCTCTGGGGGGAAAAAAAGGCAAAACAAAACGAAGCAATTCTATCCCAAGTGGGTGGTGGGTCCCTGGGAAACTCAGCGTATAAAGAAGGGTGGCCAGCGTTGAGCGAGTTCCCGCCTGGGCCTAACGCGGGCTGCCCTCTGACCTTGCCCTCTTGCCACACCCCTTCCTCTCTGCTCCGGAAGCTCTCAGGCTGTGGGAGGGGAGGGCCGAGCGCTCCACCTCTCACTCGTTTCTCCGGGGGTCTGGGAAACTCAGCTGAACGTCCGAGGCTCTCTGGACTTCTCCCTGCTGGTCAGCCTGGGAGGAGGAGCCTTGTCCCCCTGCTGGAGGAGACAGACAGCTCGGTGCAGAGTGACCAGAACCTGCCTAGGGCTCTCAGCGTAATCAGCAGACTCACAAACTGCCCCGAGTGTGTCCTCGGCCTTGTTTTCCTACAGCCCACAGTCATCACCGTTTGTCAGCTGCCTCCTGTGGAAAGTCAGGCGGCATCGTCAACCAGTCCCCAGGGACCTTTATCCTGAACACTCTTTGCGACCTTTTGCGACCTTTCTGTACAATTGCCAGATTCGACCAAACAAAATGCACGAAAGTCCTGAGAAACAAGTTGGATCATCGAGCAGCTCATTTGTCACATCCTCAGGGGCAGGAGGTGGGGGCACCACTGTTCTGAACACACACAGACATTGGGCGGAGCCCACAGGCCGCACCGTGTGCAGTCTCCACGGCCAGGACGGTGGGGGTGTGTGTGGTGGGGGGCCCTCTGGAGATGCACGTGGACAGCCGTGCGCACCGGGGCAGGGCCACACAGCAGGGCATCTGTACTCGCTGGGGCCTTCCACCCCCAACGAGGACTTGTGGCTCGGGATTTCACTGGCCGGGACGTTCGGTGGAAGGCGGCGAAGAGCGGTGCGTGGCCGAGAGCCTCGCGAAGCCAGTGCTGGCCAAGCCTCCCTGTGCTGTCTGCGGGGCGACCTGTGGTCTCCATCCCTCAGCAAGATTAAAGTGCGAAGCTTCCATTTGCAGAGGCTTCACAGCAGAGTGAACTCCCCACACTCCCCGCCCCCGCCACGTTTCTGTTTCCACACACGTGTGTGTGCTGCTGGCCGACCACCGGTCAGTGTCTGTCGGAGGTGAAGCCGGCCCTGACTCGGAGGCGCGGTGAGTCCCTGACGGCCGGCGGGTCCCCATTTCCGAAGGGCCACACTTCGTGCCCCTCCCCGCGGCCTGTGTCGCAGCCACCTCTTCACCAGACCGCGGCGTTTGCCACCTGCCTCCGTGTCGTCATTCCTGCTGTCTTCAGTGTTTCTGTCCAACCCCAGGGACACGTCCCCCTGGCTCTGACAAAGACCTTGTTGGTCCCCACTTGGGACGGAACAGATGGGGAAGCCAGGCAGCGTGTGACGCAGGGTGTGCAGCAATGTGGGCCTCGGCCATCAATCTCGGCTCGCAGGCGACAGGAAGGGGACAGTGATGGATGCGCCCTGTGCGGAGCAATCTGGAGCCGCTGCGCCCTGGGAGAGCGCGCTCATGCGCGCTCTGCTACTGCGGAACTGCTGTGTGTCATAAACGCTGTGCGGGGTGCTTCGCAACGCCGGAGTTTCTGGGGCAAACCCCGCCATGCAGCCGCCTCACAGTCATCCATTTTCCTGGCTTCCCCCCTGCAGTGCCTGTCACTGAAGGTGACAGGCACTGTCCAGGAGGACAGAGCTGTCTTACCCACCGTGCGTGGTGCCAGTGTGGGTCGCCTCCTGAGTCAGGCAGAGCCCTGGGGCCCATGTGCCAGTCTGCAGCATCTCAGCTGGGTGTCTGTTCTGGTCAAATGCCAAGGTGGGTGTGTCCCCTTCACCGGTGCTCCGGGTGGGACACGCAGCCCCACCCTTTCAGATGTGGCCTCTGCGGAATGTCCTTCCCTCAGAAGGTGACATGACGCTCCAACGGGCGTTTTGCTTCCTCTAGAAGATGACAGCACATGCCCACGTCCCAGCCCAGAGTGGGGTGGGGTCCCCTAGGATGTGGCACCGCGCGCGTCTTCTCCGGAGCAGCCTGCATGTAGGAACTGGGCCCCCGGGGGCCGCGGGACCGCTGCCTTGTCTGCAGACAGTGGGCTCTTCCCCGTCGAAGGGAACGGGCCTCGTTCCTCTCAGCACAGGGACGACACCAGCCTCCTCACTCAGTCCCCGCCTCGGAAGGCCGCGGGTGACGTGGAAGGGGTGAGATGAGCCTCCCCCCCTCCCACCCACTGGCAGCGTGGTCCAGGCCAGCAGTCGGACGCGGTGGGCGGGTTGCTGTGTAGTCCCCATTACTGCATCTCCAAAACAAACATGTGGCTTAAAAACTCTCTGTAACAAGCAGCAGCAATAATATAGTGACCAATGAAAACCACCACCAAGGAACAGTCACGCGAGCACCCCCGGCGCCCATCTCTGTCGCCCACGCTGTCGTCCAATCAGGTCTCCTGACGTGATGGCCGCTGCGACTTGGAACGGCCGAGAAGCCCGTCTGCCCCCAGCGTTTACCTTCACTGTCGGTCACGGCCGTTCACGGAAGCGCCAGCGCTGAATTTCAAATGCAGCTCCCCCGGAAGATGCAGTTTATTCTGTAACACGTCATGACGCGTAGTACGTGAACACAGGGTGCGTGTGTGGTTTGTGGATAGATATTTACTGAGTACACGTGTTCCAAATACCAAAGAGCCCGAGCACACTCTCCAGTGTAGACAGTTTTCATATTCGGGACGAGAGGGCAGGGAAGCGTGCAGAACGGGGCCGATGCTGAGCACTCGGCGTGCGCGGTCCCAGGGCTACGCCATTTCTGGCCGCACTTTAAACCAGCTGCGACAGTCACACGTTCATCGGTTGGTTTCGGTCTTGGGAATCTCGGGGGCCGTGTGCGTCCCAGTCAGGTGGAACGAAGGTGTCCCTGGGGCAGGGGCCTGACACGAGCCTTGTCACCTGCCTAAGGGGAGACAGAGTCCCCGCCTTCCAGGCAGAACCCTTCACTGTGTCCAACCCCAAACCAAGCCGACGCCTACGACCCACTAACATCAGAACCAGGGCCGTTGCACTGTGACCTTGCGGGGGGTGTGTCCCAGG